TTTTACTAATGCGACGGTAAAAATGAAACATTTTATTATTATTCACAATATTAAGATCACTAAGTTCGATCGTATTTTCAGAAACTTCATTAAAAAGTTTATCAAAATAACTCACCCACTTATGCTGAATATCTTTTTCTAAGAAAAGTACTTTTTGATTTTCATCTTTAATACACTTTACATGAGTCAAATCTTAACTTTTCTTTTCTCTTTGTGTATCTAATCTATTATAAATATCATTAAAAGCAAAATTTTTAGCGTCACAGATTGTTCTTTTAGACTCCCTGGGAGTCGTTTGATATTTTTCCTTGTTCTCTAAGCTTTTACATTTAAACTAATTTTTATAACATAACTTCTTATATTTTATCTTTTCTTGCACATTATTATTCCATCACCAACTATTTTTATTTATAAAAAATTTTTCTTTTGATTCCCTAAGCACATCTTTTGCTACTTGTTTAATAGTGTTTGTTATTTTATCTCACATAACATTTGTTTCTTCATGCACATTCCAAATTTTGATATCTTGAATTTTCCTCATAAAAGTAATTTTATTTGTGTATTTTAGGTTCCCCCATCTAATTCTACGATGATGAGTCCTAGTATTTTTTATTTTACAACTCTTCATCTTAAAATCTAGAACTAATAAACGATGTTGGGTACTTAAATGCTTACAGTCTTTACAATCTCGACGATCTCTTCTTCTCATAAGAAAATAATCAATTTGTGTTTTATTAGATCCACTCTTATAACTAATAAGATATTCATCCCTTTTCTTGAATAAATTATTAGTAATAACAAAATCATACGCTAAAGCAAAATCTAAAATAGCTCTCCCATCTTCATTAGTTACTCCAAAATCGTAGTCACCATGAGTATTTCTGAAGTCTTCTATCATTCTACCAACATGTCCATTTAAATCACCTCCAATAAAAATTCTTTCTTCAAGAGATATCATTTGTATTAAGTCTTCTAAGTCATTCCAAAAATTATCTTTAGACTTTGTATCCAAACCTACTTGAGGAGCATAAACACTTATAATATTAAAAATTTTAGTATCAATGATAATTTTAAGAGCTATAATTCTATCTCCAACTCTATTAATTTTTACAACATTATCTTTCAAACTCTTATATATAATTACACCTACACCATTTCTAGTGCGACTCTTACCAGAATACCAAAGTTTAAAACCTAAATTATCAATCTCTTTAGTCTTCTCTCCAACCTATTTAGTTTCTTGAATACATAAGATATTAATTTTCTTACGAATCATAATATCAACTAATTCCATTAATTTATCATTGAGCGTATCTATATTCCAAGATCCTGTCCTAATATTAGTTTCATATACTAACTTCTTTACCCGCATTCATCTGTAATGTGAGAACTCTTGTTTATTTAGTTTCTTAACAAGGAATGCATATTAGTAGGTTCTGGCAAGACTAAAACTTTAAATTCTCCTTTCTTTAAACAATTTGAATAAGAACTCATAATAGTGAACAGCCCATTGATACAAATCGATAAATTTTTAGCAAGGCTAAAACATGCATATTAGTAGGTTTTGGACAAACATTAAATGTTTTAACCCTATCATAAATCAAGAGATAATCCATTTTTAGACAACAAAACCTACAAAAATCACTAGTGGAGTCACAATGCAATTCTACGAATTCAATATAATTTATCAACCACTAAAACCTTAAAAACACTCCAAAAATGTACCAAATAATCATTTTGTGTCTTGCCAGGATAAGATTATCATC